GCTATCTTGTTCCTTCTGTGTCAAAACACAACTCCCCACACATTCTTTGTTCTCCCAGGCCTCCATGCGAACTTGGCGCCTGCTCTGTCTCAAGACCCTCCCCTCTTCTCCTACACGTCATAGATTTTGTGTTCATAGTGACTCCATCACGCATCTGCAGGAAACCTGAGTTAGTAGTTTCTTACTGGATGGCTAACATGATCATTTTGTCTCATTCTGTACTTGTCTTTTGGTTTGCAATTACCCTTGGGGGAGTGGGGGACAAACCCAAAAACTTGTGGCCTTGCCTCTGGCAAGACAGAGTGCCGCTGTCCGGGGCTATCATTAATGACTGACAGTGAAGTCACTTGGCCCTGTCTTCCACAGTTGTGTTTGGCTCATGCTGCCTTAAACCCTGTCGTTAAGGGGGCAAACTCTGGGCTTCCTAGTCTGTACTGACTGAGGAAAGGGTAGGTCTCTTACAGCTTGTGGACAGAGGAGAAGCCTCTGTTTCCCAGAAGTCGTGGCAAACATCTGCCTCATGGTCTCCTGTTGGGTTATGTTCCCATCTATTTCAGCCAACCAGAGGAGCCAGGAGTGGCCACTTTTTGTGTGTGGAGAATTATGGTCAGTTTGATTTTGGAATGTGGTTAAACCATCCAACACACATTAGAACTAATAATACTCCATGATGCTTGAGCTATTCCAAGCCTATTTGGTGGTTTTAGTTGGGGATAAGTGAGATGGGATGAATACCACCAAGGCCAGCTGGGAGAATGAGTTATCCAAAGGAAGATTGAGTGGGTATTGTCAAAAGAAGCTATAGAAGGCTTCAGAGTCTTTGGGTTATAATCCAACAATTGTCTTTAGAAAAAAGAGTTTCCCCCATAAGCAGGAAGGGGCTTCTCAAGGGAAGACGCAGCCCTAGCTCACTTGTCACTTACTGGTCAGCCTGGGTACGCTGGGTGTGGTGGCGCCTGAAAATCCAAGTGCTTGGGATGTATAGGCTGGAAAATCACTTCAAAGCTGGCCTTGTCTACACAGCAAGTGTCAGGCCCGCCAGCCTGCACATGTAAACAAGAGTCACCACACCTGAGAGCCAGGTCACAGAGGCTGGCTGAAGAGCCCCAGTGGGAGATTTGGGTCTCCACAAGCTGGTTTACTAGACTGAGTGGCAGCAGGCTCACACGACCACAGGTCTCTCTTCTGTGTCACTCCATGACACATCCTCAGTTCCCATGAGATAAACATCTACCAAGCATTTGAAGGACAAGCATTTAAAAATTGTTTTGTGGTAAATGGTGGTTATCTTAATTTTAAAATGATTGGTTCAACCATCGTGGGAGGTGTGTGTGTGTGTGTGTGTGTGTGTGTGTGTGTGCGTGTGTGTGTACATGTATATATAGAAAGAGTGATGACATTATTTTTAAATATTATGAAAGAAAGCTGAAAGCATGCTTGTTGAATAAAATTTGGTGTTTTAGTGTTCATCTTGTTTCCAAGATTTTGCAATAGTGTGGCATCCATTTAAATAAGTATGTTATACGTTTCAGTGTGGTAACAAGAAGAAATGACTTCATAGCCACTTGGTCTGCTCTGTTGTGGTTTATGATGCCATCTGGATTCTCTGGTGGAATTATTTTCCACCTAAATCACTGTAAACTTCTATTTAGTTTTCACAAATCTGAAGCCAGCTCTGTTTGTGGTTTTTAGCAGTGATGTAATTCTGGAACATACTGTGACTGTTAAAGGTTGTCATATACCATCAGTATTTAACTCAGTGTTTCTCACAATTTCAGACAAACTAGAAGCCTGAAAAAAAATCCACTTCCCTGCCTGAGGATTTTAGTGTTTCCTGTCTGCCTCGCCACTCACATTTGATCATATGAGATGAGTGGAGAGGTTCTGGAGAGTTCTGCCCCTCAGTTAGGAGGCTCAAATACAATGTATGCGGTTTTTTTTCCTTGTGTGATAGAGAAAGAAAACAAACTGCACTCCCTTGGCTGACAGTGTAAAAGTGAGTGGGTTTATTTCAAAGCATATCTGTATTTGGGATGTGCACAGTGAACTGCATGGAAGAAATGAGGCAGCTACGTTATTCCTTTCTCAGAGCCCTTTAATCCAGCCGACTACCAGACAGCAGCAATACCAAAAGTGCAGCAGTTTCTTGAAGGAACCGGGGGCCTGAGAGCCAATAAGGAAGTCTGAAGATTTCAAGGTCCTACGTTCTTATTCTGCATTTCTCCCCAAAGCCTTAGCGGTTTGAGGGCGGGGCGTGTCACTGATGACATTGGTAACCTCAGTTCACAGTGCAGAACTGACTCAGGGTAAAGAGACTGCAGGAGCATAGTTCTCACAAGAGCCGGAGAGGAAGCGAGATTTGTGGGCTCCTTTCAGTTTATAAATATACAGGGAGTTAAAAACAAAGAAGCCCAGGGTGGTGGCGCACGCCTTTGATCCCAGTACTTGGGAGGCAGAGGCAAGGGGATCTCTGAGTTCGAGGCTAGCCTGGTCTACACAGTAAGTTCCAGGACAGCCAGAGCTCTGCAGAGAAACCCTGTGTCAAAAGGCCAAAACAAAAGGAGGAGGAGGAGGAGGAGGAGGAGGAGGAGGAGGAGGAGGAGGAGGAGGAGGAGGGACAAAGAAAAGGAAACTGGTCAGGGCAGGTACTTGCTGTTCACTGGAACAATAGGAGGCAGAGAGTAGCCTCCATATGAAGGTGGTGTAAGGTACTAGGTACTAGGAAGGTGTTGTTAACTTCTCCTCGGCGAAGCGCAGAGATCCGGGGACACCATCAAAGGACTATTCCACATATATCAGGTCACGTGAAAAGCCTGGGCCCTGGTCCTCACATTGTCACCTTGAGAATATAGATTGCTCTACTGTTCAGTGAGAAGGTGTGATTTGTTGGTCTCCTCAGCCCTGAGGTAGTCATCTGCTGTGCATCCACAGGAGAGCTGCACAGGATTGGATCTGTTATCGTCAGGTCCTGGCAGGGAGGAAAGGGCTCTGGAGGCAGCGCACCCAGTATGAGGCTCCCCATTCCCCAGAGACATCGAGGAAGGTGGGGAGGTGTTTTCTTCAATGATGTGATGCCCTTGCTGCTGTAGATGACCTTTCAGATAGCTAAACTGATTAGTTCACCAAACTAAACTTGGGTGGAATAGCTTCTTCAGTCTGTCATTGGCACTCTATCTGGGGTAGAAAATGTCTCCCCAGGAAAAGTCCATGCAATAATATGGCAAATGTTTGCCAAGTACTTAAAATATGGGAGATACCATACCAGACCCAGGTATTACAGCAGTTGGAAAAAAAAATCCTCTCAAGTTGTGTTCTGGTGCGAGTGGCAGGAAATCACATACACAAATCAACAAGTTAAGTTGGGGTACTAATAATTTGTATGAAGGTAATAAAGCAGGACATTGATGGAGGAGATGCTGTCTGTCCTCTGAACAGATAATGTTCAGTTGAGAACTAATCTGAAGGACGAAGCTAACTGTGAAACCGTCTGGGGACGGGGCTGACAGGGTGCGTTGGAGCAGATGAGGTCTTCAGGAGGGAACCCGGACACACAGAGAACAGACAGACTGTGGCCCATTGAGCCAGGAGGAACTAGAGACAAACTGGTACCCGATGGTACCGGAACCTGGGAACAGCTTCAAGGAGCTTGACCTTTATCTATCCACTCGCAGGGAAGCCTGTGGACGGTTTTAAGTAGGAAAAGGGAAGGACCTGCTTTACATTAGTAAAAGACGAGTCTTGGTGATTCTGTAGAGAGTAAATTATGGCAAGATAAAAGAAGGGAAGAGGCCGGTTAAAAGGCAGTTGGTAGCAGCAGCCAAGGTGAAAGACGGCAGTGACTAAAGCCAGGGAGGAGCAGAGACATTTGGAATCAACGAATGACTGCGGGGACACAGAAGGAGGTTTCTGGAAACACACACGGGGCTGCCCCCTCCTTCCATGTGTCCCCGCCAGTCCCAACATAAATCTTCATTTCTATGCAGGAAACTCGTGATAGGTTCTACTGTTCATGGTTTTTATTTCTGTCCAGAGAAGGGATTGGGCTCTGTGTTATTACTTGACTTATTACTTACTCGTTTTTCAGTTACTAATTCCTACCAGTGAGGCAAGTGCACAAACTTACTTCTTGGTTTCTAGGACACTGCTTCCTGGGCCTGTATTCTGCTTCACACGAAGGAGGTCATTATTTAACAACTGTGTGCACTGCTGGGTTCCACTGACCTGCACTGCCAATGAAGTACATCTGCAGTTTAACACTGCAAATTCACCCCCAGGCCAAAGGCAGCTTACAACTTTCCGTCTTGCTTATGATTTAGAGGTGTGCGTGCATAGGTACCCTTGTGCATGTGGGGGTCAGGGAGCAACCGTGCAGTCTCTTCTCTCCTTCCGCTTGACCTGGGTTCTGGGAATGAACTCAAGCTACCAAGGCTTGCATTAGCTACCATCCACTGCCCAACAGATGTATCAATGTATTCACACAGGGAATGTGCTTCTGTTTCTCTGCACCCTCAACAACACTGGGCGTCTATAATTACTGTTCAATAAGTATTTGAAAACTTACTCTTTCCTTGGGTTTCATTGTTAACTACCTGTTCACGTCCGCTGGCTTTGTGTTTCTTCTGTTTGAAATGATCTGTCCGTCTTCTTTGGCTATCTTAGTATGAAATCGCTTCTCTATTGGTTTACCTGATCTCTTTGTATATATCAGCATGTTACACTCTGCCTGTAATATAGTTTATGGAAAATCTCTCCCAACGTATTGCCAAAACTAACTTTGCTTAAAATTAATTGAAATTTTGAATTTAAATTTTAAAATTGCGTTTAGGGACCTCTTCGTCATAACCCATTGTAAGGTTGGATGAAGTATGTAGTAGGCTTTGCACCTCTTACTTTTAAAGCAGCTAAGGTGAGAATTAAAAGTGAATAAGAATACAGGTGTTAACCCTGTCTGCCTTAAGTGTTCGCTATTCGTTCATTTCGGTCTCTCTGTTTCCTTCTAGTACTGCCTTCACCGAATTCCAAGAAGCCGGGAGGTTCGGCAGTCCTGGTTCTCCTCGGTGTTCACCACCTTGCACTCCATGTGGTTTTCCTTTCCCCTGGTTTACCATATAAAGCCAGATTTGGTATGTAAGCCTGTTCCTTATTGCTTGTCCACTGATAATAAGATCCATTGTTTCATTCAACAGCTATCGTTGATCAGTGAACCGGGGCTTTTTAGAGATACATAAAATGGGTAGTTTATATGCACTGTGCTGAAAGAGGTGAGAAATTTGCCTTCCTAGCTACAGTTTAACTGTTCTTTCTTTTATAATGGCAAGTGCCAACAGTGCTGTGGTTCCTAACCAGCGCCATGTGCGAGTGAGCCACCAAATAGTTGATTCTCTTTCAATAATAGTCTTTCTGGTATTTGGTAAGACTTTTACCAAATATGGCTCGTAGCAGTCAGAATTTCATATACATATATATATATGTAATTATTATATTATGTATATTCATATATATTCAAGTTTTCATAGGAAAGAGGACAGAGGATAGAAAGATGAACACTAAACACATTCTCGAATCACTGCATTCTCGGTGTCTGTAGAAGTCTTGCCCCTCGTGTGCAGTCTTTGCGGTCAAGTTGCAGGATTCATTGCAGATGTGCAGAGGAGAGAGTGGGGATCAGTGGGTGTGTACCGCAGTGCTGTACATGTTAAATTATGCTCATTCCTGTGGATGGCAGAATCCATTAGCTGCTGAAACCTGAAAGGAAACTACTTGATTCCCAGATAGAGGAGTCCTGGCAAGTATAGATTATTCTCATGAATAACTGAGCCAAAGTGTGTTTAGCTACAGTGGTTTAGAAAGTTCTCTATTAGTTGCCCTTCATCAGCCAGATTGAAGTTCAAACTCTCATTCTGGAGGACAGTTTAAAACCTTCATTTTATACATGGATAGTTCTCTATGAGGTTCTTGTTGTTGTTGTTTTGTTTGTTTGTTTTGATTATTTTTCAAGCCAGGGTTTCCCTATGTGACTTTTTAGACCAGGCTGTCCTCGAACTCACAGAGATCTGTCTGACTCTGCCTCCCGAGTGCTGGGATTAAAGGCAAGCACTACTACCACCGGGCTCTATGAGTTGTTTTTGTTTTTTAAGTAGCATTTTCATACCATAAAATGCACAGCTCTTAAGTGTACAGTTTGACCACATCCGTAATAAGACAAAAACTTCCCTCAATCTCAGAGTGTTTTTCCTGGCTTCTTCCTTCAACCCAAGCCCCCAAGAAATCACTGTTATTTTCTGATTTAACCACCCTAGCTTAGTTTTATACATGTCTATTTTTATTTTATGTGTATGGGTGTTTTGCCTGCATGTATGTTTGTGTATCACATGTGTGCCTGGTGCCTATGGAGGCCTGAAGATTCATCAGATTCCTGGGGACTGAAGTTATAGAGGGTCATTAGTTTCCATGTGGGTGCTGGGAATTGAACTCAGATCCTCTAGAAGAGCAGCCAGTACCATTAACCACTGAGCCATCTCCCCAACCCCCTCAAATCTTTGTCAAAATAAGTTAAACTTACAGTCTACAACTACATTGTTTAGCATGTAGTTGTCATATATCTTAAAGATTATTGTTGGCTTCAAATGCTTAATTTATTTTTAAACAAGAGGCAAATGGAAAGGGGAATGTCATTTTATTTTGAGAAGTGTTAAGTATTCTTTATTTGATATTGTGCATTAACCACACTACAGTGCTTTTTAGTAAGTTAAAAACAGCAGCCTCATCAAATAACAGGGAATTCTAATTAAATTGACTTAGTCAAGAACAGTGTAGACACCTGCTTCCTTGTCTTTAATCAAGGCCTATAACAGGCTAGTGTTTAAAATTGAAATGGGTGAGTCATGCTTTGTTCTGACAGTGAAGAGAATTTTTCCCAGCGTGAAAACATGCTCACATAACCAACTGTATAATCTAAGTATAAAGCCATTCTTTGGAGCTGGGGAGATGGCTCAGTGGTTAGAGCACTAACTGCTTTCCAGAGTACTGGAGGCTGATTCCTGTACCCACAAGGTGGCTCAGAATCATCTGTAACTCCAGACCCAGGGCATCTGATGATCTCTTCCGACTTCTTCAGGCACCAGGCATGCACAGGCATGCACATAGTACACAGACATAGACATTAAATTAAATTAAATTGAGTAGATTTCAAGGTGACATTCCTTATCTTTGTGAAAAGTTGAGCATTACTAATTAGATCCAATCATATCTTTATTTTTACAATTTATTTATTTATTAGTTTATTTGTTTGTTTGTTTTATGTGTATGGGTGTTTTGTCTGCACATCAGAAGAGCGTATCCAGATTCCATGGAACTAAGTTACGACTGTCTGTGAACCACCAAGTGGATGCTAGGAATTGAAGTCAGGACCTCTGGAAAAGTAGCTAGTACTCTTACTGAGCCATCTCTCCAGTCCCACAATCATATCTTTAAAGGGGCGGGGGTAGTAATAACATTTAGTAAACTGAAACTGCTACTAAAAAGAAAAAAGATCGTATTGGGCTGGGCATGGTCATGGAATGCCTGCACTTGGGAAACCGGAGCAGAAGGATCTCTATGAGTCGAGGCCAGCTGGTCTATATATCAAGTTCCAGGACATCCAGGATTATAGAGAAAGATCCTGTTTCAAAAACCAAACAAATGAACAACCAAAGAAATCATATTCACTTTACTATAATCTAGTTTTATTTTAATCCAGAAAATATTGTTACCTTTCATAATCAGGCTTGTGGTTCATGACTTTAGTCCTGGTACATATCAAAAGCCATGAGACATTTGTTTTCTAGTAAATAGTGCATGGCTATCACTGGTTTATTATAAACGGTTAAGTCTGCCCTTTGTCCCTTCTTAGTCCCAGTGAAGACTACTTTTGTCCAGGGATGTCCTTTTGGGGGTTCTCTAAATGTGCCGTCTGTGTAGCCTCTCTCCAGGCGATGCCTGTGTTATTGGCATTTGCGTAAGAGTCCTGGTGTGTCTTCCTCCCAAACAGCCCATGCAGATTGGATCCTGCCTTCCTCTTGCCTACGTTTTCCACAGTGTGGCACCGAGTGCACTTTAGAACAAAAATCTCCACGCCTTTCTCAGTATTACCCGCTTATAATTCATTCTCCTATTACTCAGCCAGTTGGAGCTCAGCAGCATCAGAACTCAGAAGGAAATGATAAAGTGATGGGTAATGTCTGCTGTGGATGTAAAAGAGCTCAGTGACTGCCTGGCCTGGGTTTTGTTTGGTATTGCAGTGCTGGGATTGGAGGCCGGCTCCTCAGGAATGCTAGGCATGTGTTGCCGTGTGTCAGCTCCAAGTTCCTGACACTCCAGTAGTGTGCCTTGTGGGTGGTGGGACACTTGGTCCCAGGTCCATTTTGCCTCTGACTTTATTGCATTCGGTTCCCTTTGAGGCTTTATGCACCTTAAGATAAAAAGAATTGGGCTCGCTAGCCTTTCCATGTCTTCCTTAATTAGTCTAAAGTCTCGTCAGTGCTATAAAATTGCTTGTAGAAAGTGTGTGTGGGATATTCTCATGTTTGAGGAATAAGAGCGGAGGGAGGTGGAGTCCGTGGAGATACTTCTTCCACTTTTAAGTGAGTTTTAAGAGTCACCTCAAACCTGAACATTGTTTGACAGCTACTTCGATCTGGTTACCCTCACCAAATAGAGCCTCAACTTCAGGAAATCCCCCTAAGAGAACCAAACTAGAGACCCAGCTACACTGACAGGAAAACGACAACACAGAAATCTGGCCTGTGTTCATCCACAGTCCACCGAATGTGTAAGTCTCTCCCCAGATCAGTTGTTGTAGTATCTGCAGGACTGAATGCTTGGTGTTCCCATGGGACCAAAGTAGAGTTTTCTAACTGGAGAGGGGTGCTGTGTGGTAGCTGTGGTGGCATTGCATTGGATAGTCACACACTTATTGTGAAGCTAGAACCTGCACTCACATCAGGAACAGTTGAGTGTGCCCTGACAGTCCTCAGAACAAAACCAGTGAGGTTGTAGAGAGATCCCGCAGCCACACGTCTGCTCGCACATGGTAGCAAAGCGGTTTGTTTACTAAGAGCCTTGCTATGCTAACAGTTCCACCAAGGTGCCTGAATTCCCAACTTTACCAGATACCAATGGCTGCAAACTTCCTAGATTACCAAATAAAATAAGTCATAGTAAACTCTTAGTTCTCTGTTACTTAATACCTGTAGTTAGCAAGTTTTTTTGTGTGTAGTGTATTACCAGACTCTAAAGGTAGCTTCGAAGCAGATGATCTTGTCTTGCTTTGTGTAGGAGTCAGAGTTGAAATGTGTATGCTACATCAGCAAACTGAATGTTTTTACAAACCGAGAAATGAGCATTTAAGACATTTCACGGGTGACTTTGTTTATCCTTTGGATTTGACCTTTTAAATTATAGCAAAGATAATGTGTTTGAAGATAATACGTTTAAGGAGCTGGAGAGATGAGGTGGCTCAGCAGTTAAGAGCATTGGTTTCTCTTCTCGAGGACTCGGGTTCCATTCCCAGCACCCACATGATAGTTCACAACCATCTGCAACTCCTTCCCTGAGCTCTTCAGTCGTGCAAGTGGTACACAGAGATACATGAAAACAAACCCTCAAAGACACATAAAACTAAATTTAAATTTTTTTTAATTATATGACTTAGCCAGGCATTGGTGGCGCACACCTTTAATCCCAGCACTCAAGAGGCAGAGGCAGGTGGTCTCTGTGAGTTCAAGGCCAGCCTGGTCTATAGAGTGAGTTCCAGGACAGCCAAGACTATTACACAGAGAAACCCTGTCTCAAAACACAAAACAAAACAAAAAAATTGTATGACTTAAGCAGTAGTTCTCAACCTTCCTAATCCCGAGACCCTTTAATACAGTGCCTCATGTTGTGGTGACCCCAACTATAAAATTATTTTAGTTGTTACATCTTAACTGTAATTTTGCTACTGTTATGAATCGTAATGTAAATATCTGTTTTCCGGTGGTCTTAGGTAACCCCTGTAAAAGGGTCATTCAGCCCTCAAGAGGGTGGAGACCCAGAGGTTGAGAATTGCTGGGTTAAGGGAAAACTCACTGTTGGAAAGGATAGC